GTCGAGCTCTCGAAACTCCTAGCACACACATTGTGTTCTTCATTTGAATAAGACAGATTGCCACTCGAGTGGAACACGGAAAATATGTAACCAATAGACAAGGGTGGGGCCCGAACGAAGGTCAACAATTATCGGCCCATCAGCCTAACTTGAATTTGCTGTAAGATTACGGAAACGGTAACTAAGAGGGTGACAATGAAGTTACTGGAGGAGAACAACTTACTCTCAGGGTTCCAACACAGCTTTAGACAGAACCACTCTTGCCTTTCCAGCTTCTTGCTCTCAACTGAGCAGTGGGATCGCGCAGTGAATGAAGATGGTATGGTTGACGTCATCTATACTGATTCAAAGAAGGCGTTTGACAGCGTAACACATAAACGTCTAATGTATGAATTATCGGAAATTGGAATAAGAGGAAACCTGCTGACACTGATCACGGCTTTTCTAACAGGGCGATGGCAAACTGAATGCATCGGTGACTTGAAGTAAACCCTTACTCCTGTCCTAGGCGGTGTCTCCCAAGGCTCCGTCTTAGGGCCATCATTATTCCTTATATACATAAACGACTGTGTCGGCGACCTGGGATACAGCGCAGTCATGTTTGCCGACGATGTCAAATTCTGGAGAACCATCAGATCGGAGCCGACAGTCAAGCACTTCAAGAGAGTCCTAACCGACTTAACAATTGGTCTGCTCGCTGGCTCTTGAAGTTCAACGTTAGTAAGAGCGTTGTTTTATGGCTCCTTTCTTGGAGGACCAGTGAAAAGGATGATTCCTTCCAATACCTCCTCGACGGACAGCCCCGTTCAAATTAAGACAACAGAAGGACCTCGGTGTTCAAATAAACTTCTCGTCTTAACAATCTTCATATTGTCTAAACGCGTGGCACAGGTGTTGTTAGCGATTAGACGGGGATTCGTCCACATCGAAACGGAACTCTTCAGAAAAACGTATGGAGCGTTTTTTCGGTCCCATATTGAAAATGCCGTCCCGGTCTGGCCTCTGTGGTTTAAGCGGGATTATCTGCACCCGGAACAAGTGCAGGTGAAGGCTATGATGGTGGTCCAGAAACTGGATTATCTGCCTTACCAAGACAGATTGACTGAAATTGAATTATTTCCTCTTAATTACAAGCAACTACACGATGACCACATTCAAGCCTATAGAATTTTCAGAGGCTGTGAGTGCGCCCTAAAATTTGTTGGTTTCTTCGAATTGGCTTGGACAGACTGTCTACGGGGTCATCCATTTAAACTACAGAGCAAGCCGGCCTATATTGACGTTCGACGGAACGCCTTCTCGCAGAGCGTAAGTGAAGATTCAAATAGACTCCCTGACAAGATGGTCCTCCACTCAACTGTAGAGACTTTTAAACGCAAGCTGGAATCTCACTTACTGAGAAACTGTGACAGATATAATTAATATAGTGTCAGTAGCGGCAGTTCGCAACTGGCTGACACATATCGC